CGTTACGGACAAATTACGTTCAATTCAATTGATTATGAAAGTTCGACCGTTTTTTTTTTTTTTTTTTTTTTTTCATTTTTTTTTTCTTTTTTTTTCTTTCAATCGTCCTTGGAATTTAGTCGACACGTTTTCGAGAACTAATCGATATCTCCGAGCGGAAAAAAGGTATATCAAGAATGAAAGAGATAGAAAATAGTGGGATAGTGGATAGAAGAAACAACGATAAATTCTTAACGATCGATTGTTTTAAAAAAACGTTTCTCCTAAAAGTACAACAACGAAACCAGTAATTTCGGAAAAACTCCTCGCATAGAGTTCGAAGGGTTAGCATTATGTAAATAACGCCGTGTTCCACAACGACAAATAATTGTGAAAACAACGAGCATAATCCTTTCCATTCCGATCACTGACGAAATTCCTTGATTTTTTTTTTCCTTTGGCAAATATATGATAATGAACCACGAGCAAAGATTAAACCCTCATCCCTTCCCCCCAAAAAGATAATAATTATTTAGAGAAATGAACTCGTAATATATGAAAATTTTGTCATTTACAAGCACGACGTCATAAATACAACAAAAGTCATTTTAGAATTGTAGAAAAATTGTAAATACGCGTTAAAAATATATTTGAACAAATTTTATACGTGATACTATAGAAGCTTTTTTGTTTTGAAAAATTTCTGCTATTTTTTTATATATATATATATTGCCTAATCCGAATAATATTTTTCTATAATTATACGTGAAAACAATAGTAGGAATCTTTAAAAAAAAAAAATTAAATTATTAACATTTATTAAAGTTATTATATATTACAAACTTTGCAATATTTCGATTTAAATTTAAAAATCAAAAATGATTCCACTTAACATGACACATAAATCAATACTTTTTCATATATTTACAAGTAATAAACCAAAAAAAAGCAAAGCATCCTGCAGTTCAACTACTATATAAACTTTAGTAAATTATCTATCGTTCAATGAATAATTTCACTTTAAAACCACCGGTCACTAAAATGTGTTAAAAAATGTGCTTTTACTTGCTTATCAAACGAGTTCTCCTATATAAAAAAAAAAAAAGAAAGCATCGTGTAACCGTATGAAGGAAGTGAATTCCTTGAGACGAAAATTTTTCTCATAGGATATAGAAAAATAGGACGAAGTAGAAGTATATGCACGTGTCGTGGTATCAGAGAAAGGTCAGACTTCTCAAAAGACTTTTTAAGTCCGGTCAAGCCTGCTTCGTAATTACACGTTGCATCTCTGATATTGCGTTACGTGCATGCATTACGCACATAGTTCGTTTATGCTTGATCCTCCTCTTCTTCTTCTTCTTCTTTTTTTCCTCCTCCACCAGGATTTCTATTCCTCCTCTTCCTCCTCCGCATAATCATCTTCTTCTTTATCTTCTCTTACTACTACCTCGTAAGGGGGAAGTAGAAACGATAAATTCAGTTCGTTGCATGGTCGAATACGAGCGCAGAAGGGAAACGGTGTTTCTAAACGATCGCACGGACGAGTTGCGTTCGACGTTTAACGTTGTTCCTAGAGATAACCTTGTTGATAATCGTTACCTATGCGTTATCGATAAATCAAACGATATATATCCTACCCTTCGCTTCGGGAATAATTATTACCATGGTAATATCGATACCGGCAGTGTGTGTTACTACTTCGTGTTTTAAACACTAACCATCTTACATACGTATACATATATATGTGTATACAGATATTTTTTTTTAGACATATATATATATTTATATGTGTATATATATATATATGTATAATATACATCCGATAACGATCGCGAGAACGAACGTTCCACGATAGTACGTATATGTACGTATAACAGATTTCGCACCAAGCTACGAGAATGCTAAAGAGACGACGATATCGATCTCTCGTTTCGCTCGAGAAAGGTTTTTCATCGGCTTATTTCCATTCCTTTGCAAGCCCGATGACAAGTATACTTGATCATTCGAAATACTTTTCCTTTTATCCTTTTATTTCAATTGAACTTATAAAGTTACGTCTCACTTTAACGCGTACTTTATAAATTTTTAACTATATTTCATATTATACACGTATACGTTCTTCTTAATTTTCATTTTACGATATTATACGTACATATATTCGTTCGTAATTTTTATTTATGATATAGACGAAAATTTATATGACAAATGATAAATCACGTTAATAATAATAATTTGATACGTTAAGTGTCATATTAATTCTAATCGGTTTGTCAAAGTGTTACGAATCAATGAGAATAATGTTTTTTTTTTCTCTCTCTTTCTCTCTCTCTTACGAGGATTATAATAACAAGAATCGTGTAGAAAGAACTATGGAAGAAAATTGATCATCGTGTGGAACGTTAAGCGAGAGATATCACCTTTGCCATTTTATACTATGCGAGAGCTCTATTGTTACAGGTCTAGCGTGCGATATGTCAGGAGATTACGTTCTCGAACGTCGTCGAATATTCTCTAAAGCATT